TAAGTAAAACCCAAAAACTTTTTTTTTTTTTTAACTAACATCAATACATATAAACTGAAATTGGACTGACTATAGATTTCAGTAAAAAAGAAAGTAGCAGCATGTGAATTTACCAACTGTTTGCTCTGATCATATTAATATACCACATTCAATAATTATATCATAGGAGAAAGAGGGATTCAACCATGATCATCTGTGTAGAATTAACCAATGTTTAATATGTAACATGAGAAAAAGAAAAAATTAATCAAATCAGAGAAGAAAACTAAATATACCCAAGCAAAATTTTCAAGTTATGAATCTGAAACCACGCTAAACTGATCGTCTTCTACAGGAGCAGGCATGTTTAGATCGATGAAACTGTTCTTCAACACAGAGGAAGAAGAAGAAGAAGAAACTAGCAAGTGAGATCTTTTGTGACCGCCAAGTGCTTGTCCAGAAGCAAAAAATCTGAAGCAAAATGGGCACTGGAAACTTTTCTGATCATGATTTTTAGTAATGAAATTTTCTGGACTCAAACAAATTCTCCTGTGTCCGACCAGTGCATGATAAGATTTGAATACCTTCTTGCATTTTTCACAGCGATGTTTCGATTTGATTGTGTCATCAGATTCATCGAATTGTAATTTGTTTTTCTTCCATACATCTCTTGAAAGCATGATGAGACACAGAGCAACATCTTCTTCCGGGGAAGTATCGGAAACGGAACTCGCCGGTTCCGGCGACGACGTCGTTTCATCCCAAATGGGTTTCTTCTGGCTAGTGTTATCGTGTCTCCGATTTCTCTTAGATCGTCTCCGAGTTGGGTTCCTTGACTCGGTCTCGCTCTCTCTGTCTTGAACTACGGAGCCGGCAGCTGAGTCAGCTGCGAAAGAGAACTCGGGATCTGCAACTCTGAAACTCTTCTTGGGATTCTCCCTCAAGCTGTAAATGAGAGATTTGTCTTCCACTTCTAGGTTGGTGCTGGTGGTTTTGTGACGGTTTTGAGGGGATGAAGATGAAGCTGAGTCGGTGGAGGGATGAGCGAGCTGGTGGTGAGTCTTGGGTGGAAGAGGAAGGGTGGTGAGATGAGCTTTCATGTGACCACCCAAGGCTCTGCCATTGTTGAAAGTTCTAGCGCAGAGCTTGCATTTGTGTTTCTCCATTGTTGAACCAGAAGATCTCTCTCTCTCTCTCTATCTGCGTTGAGGAAGGAGATTGGGAACTCAAAAAGGAGTAGGTGACAAGCATTCCTCCACTCTACCAAAAGACACACAGCCCAAAAAATTATGATTTTCGGATTATTATATATAGAAAGAAAATTATAATCTTATTATAATTATAATTATTATATAATACAGGAGATTAAGGAAAATAAAAATACAAAAATTAAAAAATGGGTGATGAAGAATATAGAAGAAGAGGGACAAGTAACATGCAAAAAAATGGACCATTTTGGAGGTCCACAAATTGCCTAATTTAATTACTTGGGTTTTCTTAAAAAATTATTTTTATTTTATATATATATATTTTTAACCATTGAATACAATAAAGAATGTAAGAAATTATCATTAATGTCGGTCCAAGGAAGATTAATTTCATTTCATAAGTAAAAATTGGTTCAAATTATAACCTTTAGTTAGAAATATATTTATATTTGACTATATTGTGTCAACATTTCACTATATTTTGTTAATATTTAATTATTATTTGTTATTTTCTACATGTTAATTAAATAATAATAATAATAATTGATAGTCAAATAATATTAAAATATAATAAAAATTTGATAAAACATTATAAAATATTGCTATATCTAAATATTTTAATATACTTAAATATCTTTTATCATATTCCCAAACGAAAGAAGTCTAACTTATAACCCTACAAATAAACCTAAATCAATTTTATATGGTCTAAGAATATAAATTAATTTTCCTTTTAATTATTTCCCTGCCCGTTTTTGGGTCAAATTTATATGTATACACGTGATGTGGTTCAACATATTTACTGCGACATTAAATCCAAGTCAATTAATAGTTTAAAAGTTAATAAAAAAATATATTACATAGAGTAAAGCATTAATCATAATTGCTAATGTTTCAATTAAAAAATATTTTTTTAAAAAAAAAAAAATATTCCACTAGTTAAAAAAGTTAAATGTGTATAATTAAATATTGTAAAATAATTAGTGGAAAACAATTTGACGATTTAGGGTATGCTGCCATGAATTCAGTGCAAAATAATTCCATGATTGAATCTTCAATTTCTCCCCTAAAAATTATAATTTTATTCCTAATTTAAAATTAAATTCAGGGGATTAAAATATAAAACACAATTTTCTTAGACAAAAATTAAAAGCACCAAAGTGAAAAAGAAAAAGAGAAGCTAAAAATGGAGATAATTATAAGTTTAAGTTAATGATTAAAAGATTGAGATTAAAGTTAATGCCAACTACCTGCTTAAATGTGTTTAATATTTTTTGTTAAAACTAAATTATTAGACCATTTTAATAGTATAATTTTGAGATGAGTTTATATGTTAAGAACTTAAAAAGTATTAAACATTTGATAATCTGATTTTATTATTTAATATAAATTTAAAATTCATATAACTTGGAAGATAATTTTTAATTTCAACTAAAGCATGATGGTATAAATTATTTTATTTATATATTTAAAAAATTATCTGAAAATCAATTTTATTAGCGCAAAAACCATTCTTCCCTTCCAACAAACCTTGTATATATATATATATATATAGCTGTAACTAACATCTCTTGCTTCCATTCTCTGTATATATGCGGCTGTCCGTATCAGGCTTCTGCAAAAACAGTTCAGTTCAAATACAGGAAGCTTTTACATTCTACGCTACTTCAAGCACACGGTACAATCATGCACGTGTTTTTTTTTTTTTTTTTTAAATATAAAACATGACATACTAATTAATTATTTATATTCTACCTCGTCTTTAAACTAAAAACGTGGATTGAGCCAGATTCGTTAAACTTTGTACAAGATTAACTTTTGAAATAATCAAGATTTGAATACTAAATTTCTGATTCTGATATTATCTTAAATAATTAATTGAACTAATTATCTCTAATGTTTAAACTGATAGCGAAAAGTTCAATCAATTATTTATATTCTAACATATAACTATTATGTTAATGGAATGTTAGCTCAATAGAGGTTTCTCCGGATCACACTCACTTCCGTAGTCATCATCATCATCTTTATAATCTTCTTTCGCTTTTGCCCATAGCACCAAGTAAAGACCGGTGAACATTAGGAACATACCAGCAAGGCTGTGTTAAAAGTGTGAATAACGTAAGTATACAGAAACAATTCTGATTAACGAAATCTACTACTAATTTTATCAAACTAACACATATATAAATATACAGATATATACCTTCCTAGATTGATGATTTCTCCTAAGGTAACAACAGAGATAATCACTGAGACTATCGTTCCAATGGGGTTAAACATTGAAACAAGAACAGGCCCTTTTTTCTTCATTGCCCATCCATTGAAGCTTACACATGCTCCACTCACAGACCCTCCCTGCATCAAATGTTTTTCAAAGTTAAGATCCATTCATGTTTAACTTAATCTTGATTAGTTTGACTTCTTTTATGGATTAACAATACACCTTGTCGAAGAAAAAGTAGAGAGTTTCCCTCGATGTAAATTTTCGAAAGTGACAAAAACAAATTCTACTGTATACATACACACACATAGAGACACCAACATATATATACATGTATAGGACAAGAAGAGAGAAAGGTACCAGTATAGAATAGCCAATAAAGGTGCCAATGCTCAAGAAAGCCCAACCAGTTTCCACTTTGTGATCTTGAAACAACTGTACAGCAACAGTTAAAAAAACCCCAATCAAGGATGTTAGAGCGCACAAGGACATTGGTGCTGGAAAATCTCCCAAAGTTGCAGCCTGAAATTAAAAACCAAATAATTTGATTTCATAATTTAAAGAAAAACAAACAAATTGAATTATGTACTAATCAAATAACTTAAAAATATTGGATAAACGTCCATACAACCTGGAGGACAACATTGCTTGATAGAACAAACACTGCTGCTAAGAGATAAATGCAGCCAACGATTTTGTCTATGTCGAAGACATTGTTGGACGCGGGAGATGCTATATCAGCAGCCTGTGTTACTGTGTTTGTGCTGTGCATTAGGCTTATTACGATTGCGCCTACCACACACAGTAATGTACCAAGAATCTTCACTTTGCTGTAAGCACAACTTAGCTTTACTTTCTCTAACCTGCAGCGCGATTGGAGTCTGGCATGTGAATTTCGTTTCCTTTGAATTTGAATCTCGAGAATTGAAAGTTTGGTTAACTAAAATCTCGAGTCCCATGCGACCAAATTCACTTGAAGGACAAGAAGGTTGCAGAAAACAGTTACCTTACAGCCCAAGCAATGAGAAAAATGAGGCCTGGAGCTAGGTTCGGCATGGCTGTAGCCATTGCTGGTGAAGTTAGGTTAATTCCCTTGAGAAATAGGGATTGAAACAAAGTTACCCTGATATGCATAAACCCAAGAAATCTGTTAAGGTCACTTTCATTAGTTTTTTTTATTTTTCAATTCATGGTTGATTTTCTATATATTCACAAAGGTTTAAATTTTTTTTTTTTTTTCACTTTAAGCAATAAAAAGAAGTATTTTTAAAATTTTATTTTCTATATTAATGTATTTATAGTTTTGTTTGGAGAACCAGAAAGTTTCACGATAATCTCTTATCAAATTCTTTAAAAAGCTGTTATGTTATATCATGATAATAGATTGAGTTCTGAATTAGTGCAAAAAATGATCAAATAAAATTAAACGAAAAAAAAATTAAAAATAACTGTTAGTTTACTTTCATTAATTTTTTTTTTTAATTCATTGTTGATTTTTTATATATAAAGTCTGAAATAGAATATTTTTACCTTAAACAATATATAAAAATACTTTTTAAATTTTTATTTTCTGCATTCATGTGTGTTTATATTTCCATTTGGAGAACCAGAAAGTTTCATAATAATCTTTTATCAAATTCTATAAAAATTTGTTATGTTATCTCATGATGATTCTGTATTAAGTTCTAGGTTTATGTAATATACGATCCAAATAAAATTAAGTAAGAAAAAATTTGAAAATAACTATTAATTTATTAACATTTGAGAATAAAATGAAAACTAAATATTAAAAGAAGAGATAATAGAATAATAAATGGTATAATAATCACCAAATTTCCTAATATACTAAAAACAATTCAAAATCAAACAATCAAATAGGGACAAGCATGTATAGGAAAGAATAAACAAAAATATGTACATACATACCCTCCAAAAGAGATTAAAACCAACTGAATCATCAACTTCAAAGTGAATTTCTTGGGCCATTTCTTCCTGCAACACAACCATTTACTTGAAAATTTTATCACCAATCAAAAGGGTGAAAAAGAAAAGAAATGAGAATTACAAGTTCTATTTCTTCTCTGGCATGAGAGACAAAAAGAAATGGAGGTTTATGTGTGTACATATATATTTATACATACCTCTCAAAGTAAACAGCAAGAGGGGACACAATAAGGAAGGTTGCAAAGGTAGAGAAGATAACAATGGTGAGAGGACTAACTCCCAGCGACATTAAATAACTGAGCAAAACTGAGTTTCCTGCATAAACAAATTGAACTGCTACCAATCCAACTACTATTCCCACATCTTCTATCACCTCTTTCTTCATCATTTTCTCCCACTTTCTTTCCTCCCAAACAAGAATAAAACAGCAAACCCTCCAATTCCTAATCTCTTTTTCTCTCAACAAACCAAAACCCCCCTCATAATAATTAAATTAAAACACCATACATTCATCATCAAACTTCTTTCTTTTGTTTAATCTTCAGTCTCTGTAATTTTCGGGTCATAACAGAGCTTCATTTTCTCTGTTATTTTCCATGGTGATTCGTCGAAGGAGAGTTGTAGCTACACTCATGGAACCCTCCAGGATGGATTTTTTTCTTTCTGGGTAATTTCTCTCTCGTTGTTTTCTTTGGGTGTTGGAATGAAAAAGGTCACCTAATTCGCTACCGTTCCTCCCTGCGGTGTTTCCTGAGAAAAGGGAAGCTCACCTGTACGTTCTTAGCAGCTTTAAATAGTTAAATGCAATTTTTGCTTCTAGCTTAACTTAAAGATATATATATTTATATATATATAGGTATGTATGTATTTGTTTTGATTTTTTGTTGGTTTTAAATTAAAATATAATTTAAGGATAGATTTTTTTTCTTTATATATTAAGTGCCTATTTGTAGGATAAAAATCTAACGGAAATTAATCTTCTTCACTGAATTAATTAAATATGTATATGAATTATTATATTATAATTAATTAATTAGTTCGCAATTACTGGAGTAGGTAGAAGCAAGTTTTAATTGGTTACATTGTTGGGCTTGCAAATTTAGACGATTGATCATGAAAAATACAAATAATATAAGAGAAATTGTTATATTATTACAGTTATTATTATTATTATTATTTAAAATTTTGATCTTATTTATACGACTATTTTCGTTCTTTGGAAATAAACATTAAATTAACTCAGTAATATTTTTATTTATTTATTTATTTCATATATTGGAAATTACTCAAAACTTTAAGTGTGATTCACTAGGAATTGAGTCAACTCAGCTGAATCAAAATTGGACTGATCAGTCAAATCACAACCAGTTGACTTCAACAAATCTATTTTCACATCTATAAATAATTAATTTAAGATAGTGGAAATGTATTTATTTTTAGAAAAGTATTTCTGGAAAAAAAATAAAATTATTTTTATTAAGAAAAACAGTTAGTCCTTCAAGTTTTATCATTTAAAAGATGGCGTTGATCTATCCAGATGCGCCATGCACGACTGCAGCGCTAAGCTCTCTCTAGTCAAGACAGTTCAAAGGCACCTGTCCAAACAGAAACCCTTTATTCGCACGAAACTCTTCTCTCCAACCAATCGTGTCAATCGAATTCCCCTATCAGATTTTGAATTGTGGACCAAAATCATATCAGACCTCGCCCAAGGAGCCACCGAACCTGAAATTGCTTTACATGATGCTTCTCGGATGCTCAACAATGGCTCTAAACCCAATGGCTATTCCCTAGTTCAACTTATTCGAGTTTCCACGGATTTGGGTTATGATTCTTACTGCCAGCTGCTTCATGGCTATATTATAAAATCTGGGTTTGTCTCAGACGTTTCTGTATCCAATGCGTTATTGAAGTCTTACAAAAGATTTGGTTCATCGAAATGCGCCCACAAGGTGTTTGTTGAAATTCCTCAGCCGAGTGTCATCTCCTGGAATTCTTTGATTTCTGGGTACGTCCAATCAGGGCAGTTCAGTAAAGGACTGTGCCTGTTTCTTGAGCTCGGAAGATCTGATATCTGCGCCGATGCATTCTCGTTCTCCATAGCTTTGTCTGCTTGTGGCCAGCTGAATTTGTTGCGGCTAGGCCAGTCAATTCACTCGAAGATTCTGAAGTGTGGCTTAGAATCAGGCGTCGTCATTGCAAATTGCTTGATTGACACCTACGGAAAATGTGGTTCTGTTGAAGAGGCAATTTCAGTCTTTGAATATATGATCAACAAGGATATTATTTCTTGGAATTCCGTTGTTGCTGCATGTGCTAAAAACGGAGAACTTGAACTGGCATTCTGTTTTTTCCACCGGATGCCTTACCGAGACATAATATCATACAATCAACTTATCAGTGGCATTGCTCTGTTTGGTAATATTGATGATGCTATTCAGATCCTATCACATGTGCCAAATCCAAATTCTTCGTCTTGGACATCAATTTTGACAGGATATGTTAACAGAAACTGGGCATGGGATGCCCTGGGTTTTTTCAGTACAATGCATGCGGAAGGTGTTGGAATGGATGAGTTCACGTACTCCATTATTTTAAGCGGTGCTGCAGGACTCTCAGCCTTAACATGGGGAGTGTTGATTCACTGTTGCACGATAAAATGTGGCTTGGAAACTGCTGTAGTTGTAGGGAGTGCACTGATTGACATGTACTCGAAATGTGGGCAGGTGAAGACTGCTGAATCAATGTTTCAGGCGATGCCCAGAAAGAATTTAATAACTTGGAATGCTATGGTCTCTGGCTATGCTCATAATGGTGACTCAACCAAGGTAATCCAGCTCTTTGAGCAGATAAAAATGGTAAGGGATCTACAACCTGATTCAGTGACATTTCTTAATGTACTGGCTGCATGTTCTCATGATGAAACACTTTGTCAAAGTGGGATTCAATACTTTGAATCAATGATTAATGAATACAGGATTGAACCAACAGTTGAACACTGCTGTACTATGATTCGACTTATGGGAAAAGGAGGAGAGGTGTTTAGGGCAGGGAGGATGATCAACACACTGGGGTTTGAATGCTGTGGGGTGGTTTGGAGGGCCCTGCTTGGTGCATGCGGAACTTCCAAGGATTTGAAGGTTGCAAAGATTGCAGCCGCAAAGGTGATTGAACTTGAGGGAGATGATGAGTATGTTTATGTTATGATGTCTAATATGTATGCATGTTATGGGAAATGGAGGGAGGCGAGTCTGATTAGGAAGCTGATGAGAGATAGAGGGATGAGGAAAGAAGCGGGATGTAGTTGGATTGAGGTTGAAAATATGATAGCAAATTCCATCCAGTGAAGATATATTCTGTGGTTTCTTCTACGCCTTTTTTTTACAAAAAAAAAAAGGAAAAATCTGAACGTCAGAATGAAAAAGTGACAAGAACGCATTTAGCATTCAGCTGATCTTCAATTTTCGAACTGGGAGTTGGTGTCTCGGAGCAAATGAGGTGGTTTATATGCTCCAGTTTCAGCAGCTTTTTTATGATGAGTAATGAGCAGAGTCTTATATTTACCCCTCAAGCTGGTGAATGTTTTCGATTCCCAGTTTGCTTATGATTTCTTGAAACCTTGAAGGTATCCAGTTGGTTAGAACATTCACTAGCTGATAGCTTGATGGCAGGTAAGAGTGCTAACTAGGCCACCATCCAGCTTCTCCTTTATGGAGTGCCCATTCACTTCAATGTGTTTAATGCAGTTAGGTTGCATTTGATTATGTTCAATATTTTTAGCGGGCCTATCATCACAGCAGAATCTCGTGCATCATTTCTTCTTATTTTAAGGTCATCAAGATTGACTTCAGCCATAAAGGTTCACAAACTCCATCTGTCATGGCTCTAACTTCAGGTTCAGCACTTGAACTTGCAACCATGTACTGTTGCTTACTCCTCCATGTCATTACCTTCATGAAACTACAAAAGCCTGGTGAGTATCTATTATCCATGCAGAGTGGATGGTTTGCATCTACATAAGCTTTTAGATTAAGCCCATTTTTCTTCTTGAACAAGATTCTACTCCCAGGTGTGGCTTTAAGATTAGAATTCTAGAAGAAGCCAGCAAGTGCTTTTCCTTCAAATCATGCATGAGTTCGCTTACAATACTCAAAGCATAAGCTATACCTGACCCCTTGTGAGATAAGTAAATCAGTCTCCTAACAAATCTTTGATATCTTCCTCTTCACCCAGTTATGATTAGGCTTACCAAACGTGCTAATTGCCTTACCTCAGGTGTCATAGTTTCCTTAAGGAGATCTATTTTATTGAGAAAAAAAAAACTACACTAGAGCATGCAACTTCAATTTGCAGAAAATAATCAAGTTTCTAAATTCTTTAGTATCAAATTCCTTAATCACGCATTTCTTAGGGAGTTGTACAAAATGCTGTTTATAGCCATCTCTAGCGTGACCTTTGTAAGTTCTTTTCAAACGGTCTCAGGGGACAAGTTAAACCCATAAAATGATTTCTCTAAACTGCAAATTTAGAGATTTGATGGTTTGGTACTTCTTCTAGTTCCTTTTCTAGTAGCAGTAGGAGAGTACATATCAGGAAACTTGTGGGAAACTGATTGGGATTCTAGGCTTTTTATTGGTTTTAGAAAATATTCTTTTTCTTGTGTAGGCCTGAAGCGGCATAGCAATATTTAGGTTGGGCTCTTGTTTTTCTAGCTCATTTTTAGAAGCATGTTTGAGTTCGTTTTTAGACTAAAGGAATTTTTAGATTTAGTTATTGTAATCTCTTAAGGAGATCAAGTTCATAGCAAGCTTAAGTCAAGAAGAAACTCTCTTTTTTATTTTATCTAGAAACTCTTTTACCTACTTACGATCCTAAAAGAATGGTGGCATCTATTGAGCGGCACCTGTGTTCTTTTTTAGCAGTTGATTTGATTTTAACATTTTAAAACGACTGGATTAAGTTTGAAACTGAGATAGCGAAAGACTTCGGGTGGTAATTTGCAAGAAACATTGGAGTCAAGGTCAAATTTTGAAAGCATAGTCAGAGAGCTTCCAGTCTCCTAAAACTTTGGACGGAACTCTTTTTGTCATCATGGCAACGATCTGCAAAAATATTTTGGTATGGTAGTGCTCCAGCAACATTTTGTTTCTATGGATCATGGATAACCCTTCTAGTCTTCCTACCTTTGGCAAGACTTGGTCCCTTTAATAAAAATCACAAATTAGATAACCAAATTGTTCTAGTATATTATCAATAAAAAAAAGCACACAATATCTTGACCCAAACATTTTAGGCATTATAAATAGAACCCAAATATCAGTATCTACCAAAGAAAAACGTGATCTATGAAAAAGGTGCAATGAACTTTGTATTACTCGGGTTAAATGACACACGACGATGAGCGAGCGACAGGTTAACAAGTGTAACAAGAAACTACTAACATTTGACATTTTCCAAGAAGTTAAAAGTAAATGTGCGCTTTAAGTCAATTAAAATAAGTTATACAGGAAAACTACATAATAATTTTTATCAATCATCAACCTACATTTTTAATATAAAATTATTTTTTCTCAAAAGAGATTTTCATAATAACAAAAGCACTAGGTTGGGTAAATAAATCATTAGGTTACCATTAGTTCAAGATATTAATGTTTTGGAAAAAAGTAATAAACGATGATAGTTTGAATTGAGTAAAAAGATACTCAGGTTTTCCTACTTTGTAGTCAAGTAGACCTTGACATCCACTAACAGAATTCAGTATAAAAATAAAATTCCTGAAATTATAAACCAATATGGAAATTACAATGCCAATCTTATATATCAAATAAAGAATTACGATCCACAAATAGAATATGAAATCAACTAAAGTTTAATATCTAACCTATATTAGTAGTACAAAGAAATTGGTTAGTGGCTAGATTTTAAAGGCACATTATATTTAGACGGCACCATACCCACTCCTACCATTAAAGGCACATATGTGTGTGTGTATGTAATATCAAGGTAAATCAAAAGAGTGGGAACTGAATGTGGCAATACATTACCTCATTACATGCTTTTCACAAAGGAAAAGATGGAAGAGAATCAAATTAATAATTACTCGGCAGAAAATACTGGTAGGCATTATGAGCAAAAAATTTGGAGTTGTACGATTTACATTATAACCACAACAGCTAATTCCTATCTCCTCCTAAGACCTCGTATATATATTAAAGCACCTCTCTCCATGCATACCTCGTTTTTTTTAATCTCGGTTTCTCTTTGGTAAGCC